TACCAACTTACACTGTTTCCTTCATAATAAGAAAACTTCGGATACGATATCCATCATGAAACGAATTTGCATCAGTTTCATTACATTTTCATCAAAATATGTATTATTTCCTTTATTAATCAGAATACGAATGCGAAGTTGCATAGAAATGGAAAACTGCATAGATGAACTACAAGAACTAGACCATCTTATGAAATCTTATGATCTCCGATGTATACTGTCTGTAATTTTTTGTATATGCTTTTCTTTGATAATAAAACATAAGTTACTCACTTGGAAAAATGTGAGCTAAAACACACTTAATCTCTACTTCAGTTTTGAATTAAAATGAAATTTTTGCGAAACACATGTGGCAACGATTAAACTTCATCAATAGTTTCCACAGTAACGGTCAGCTCAGAACAACAAATTGTTTTGTATTTGACTTTCGAGATTGTGTCGTCGAAATATGTTTCGTTTCTGTATGTAGATATTTTCAACTTGTAAATAAATGAATATATTTCTAAATACTAATCGAGTCATAACCTGGAGAACTTATCTCACATTTCCCACATGCAGACTTTTTCAAATAAGTTAATGGTAATATGAATTTATTTGTTTTTCTAGAAAGCTTTCCTGTAGGAATCTGCTAATATTTGTATTTCTATTTAAAAAATTGTATTCTAGACAGCCAACTCCTTTGACCATAAAATAGCACACTGCGCTTTCAATTAATTAGCTTTCTCATTCAACATTTAAGTCTGTACATAATTATTAAGCAAAAATTCAGAACAAAAGTTGTATAAATAACTGCATTTTTTCTATTTTCATTTATAAGATTTGTATTTTTGCCTTAGCATGCTTGTCGGCATAGCTTCATATACTATAAAACTCGGAAAATCAATATGCGAAACTATATCAAACATTATAAATATAAATACAAAATTCTAATATCGATCTAAAATTTTATAAGATGAAGGGTGTTTCATACTGAATGAAACAAAAAGAATATCATAGCACAAATTCTATAATTGATTTATTAACTTAAAACAAATTAATTCTGAAACTACAAGTATACAAATTTTATCTGACAACAGCGAAAAATCTTTCCCGGTTACGAACTCGCAGCTAGAGGCACTATTAATCAAAATGGTGCCATCCATGCAGGAGAAAGGTTGGTGTTGGTGCATTTAATTATGGCAAAGCACACTAGGGCTATCTACCTAAGGGGAGGGATGCCTTCGTGGAGGACGTTTTAAGGGAAACTGGCTCGTATACACGTTACACATGGGGAAAACCACGAAAACACCCATGCAGCCAGCCCGTTCGCGGGATTCGAGCCTCCGATCGAACTACCAGTGTTCAGCGACTTTACCGCTCGGCCGCTGGTGGGCCATGCAGGAGAAAGAGTACTGAGTTTTGGGAATTCGCCATGATCGTTTATTGTCGTTCAAAGACATTTTCGTGCGAAATTTTAAGGTTCTGGTGCACGGAAAATTCGCATAGTGTAATGGAAATAGTGTGTTTCGTGATTGTCCGAAAAGTGAACGTTTCTTCCGCCACTTCCAACAGTTCTATTTCTATTCCTTATTTTTTTCGTGGAAAAATCAATTAACGTATGCATTTACCAAGATACGCTATCAGAGTGGTTTTTCCTTCAACTGAACGAAGGGGTTCCCAGCTTCACTTTGCAACAAGGCGGTACATTACATTGGCATAAAAACGCACGACAGTGCCTGAACGATAGTCTAAAACATCGCTGGATTGGCCATTTGCTTTGTTGGCCACCGAGATCCCCAGATCTAACCCCCTGTGATTTTTTTCCTATGGAATTTTGTTAAAGTGTTCATGCCTTCACTTCCCAGTAATTACACCAAATGAAACAGCGTATAACTGAAGTGCTCGAACAAAGTATATTCTACCACGAGTTGGAAGGAAGTGGAATAACGCATAGATATTGTCGTGTCACAGGAGGGGCACACACAGAATATTTACAAATTCAGTATGATACATCCTGTATTTTCTCCCTCCTTTCCGCATGCATTCGTCGTGTAACTGGAAGCACATTTGACGGATATTCGGGAGGTCCGCACTTCCAGTTCCGGCGAGGGCATTGCACATTCTTCATGTTCCTGCATCGGTATAACCTAATGACCCTACTGGTTAACATGTAGTCAAATTTCAAATCCTATGAATATTTTTGAAATAATCGCATAAATTTTCTAACCGTGGTTAAATATTCTTAATATAACTACCACCCACAAAGCAGAATCGTATCGAATTTATTCATTTTGCTGAAACTGGTGCTGGAGTAAAAATCGCAGCTTCCTGGTCCATAGTAGAAATATGCAAATCTGTCAAAACTGTGTATATGTATAATATCATACTAGGATTCGTCATTATTTAAGAACAGTCTCTAAAATAGGGATTTTCAACCTGTATTGCTCCGCCTTCTTTTTTACCATACATTAGAATGCCGTTCTTCATTTCTCTTCCGAATGTCGTTCCAAGTTTTTTTTATTTTTTGTTTGCTTATTTAAGTGGTGCATTTCTAATTATAATTAAAACAGGCAGCTGAATTCTTTTCCTCCTCCGCCGCTATAATATAAATGGCAGGAAACTGAATAATGCTGCAAAATAATTTAAGTACGCTCCATGAGACACAGAGGTTAATTAAAACATGAAAGAAAATCAGACTTATCCACGCTGGTTATTAAAATCATTCTGGAAAATTAGCTTCATTTAATCCCTCAAATCAGTGTCGTTATGTAAATACTCCTACAGTGAGCTAGATTACTTTCTGTCCCGTGAAAATTAGCCATACGTTTGCGAAATGCTAAAGGAAATAATAAAGAATGCTAAAAAAAAAAAAATTTAAAAAGCCAAGCCCATACTGTGAATATTGGTGAAGTAACGTAAGAGTTAACTAGGAATTAATCTTTGACTATGCTCAGTCCAACTCATACTTCCAGGCAAAGATTGTAGAGATATAAGGATTTTTTTGGAAGCAGGAAAGATGAAAAATAGCAAACGCCTTCGCCGAGAATCGAATCACGGACCTCTGGAATACCGGCCCAGCGTGCAGAACCACTACACCACGAAGGCATGCTAGGAAAGTGGGAGAAATACCTTATAAGATGAAGTACATCTCAGCCGGATGAAGTCCAGAGTAACAGATGTGCATTTATGTGGGAAACTGGGCAGAACTATTTCGAAGCAGAACTTGAGACCCAGTATAGTAAATACGAGTCTACAAGTCGGTTTTCCATAGAAAGTTCTACATAAAATCATCCCTTTTCTTAAACCAGTGGTTCTCACCCTTTATTTCACCCCTTTCACCATTGCTAGAAGCTCATTCCTCCCCCTTTCCCGAACTTGAAAAATACATATTTACACTTGATTAGATTCATATTATTTTTAACGTTGTAAGGAATGTTATTTTTAGTTTTTTAAACTAACCAGTTTTGTTCGGTTACTAATCTTTTCTATCTTCCTTCATTTCCATTTCCTGCCAGAATGATATTTCAGTTTCTCATGTTATGCAAAATAGGGTAGAAAGATACTATTTAAGCTGGTGTCTGAGTTTCTTCAGGCAGCATTTCTCTTATTTAAGCTTGCGATTTTACGGCCGTGCATATTAATTACCGGTTTGTGTAAGTCGGTAGTCTACCTTGTTTCTCTGATTTAAGCTTGCGATTTTACGGCAGTGCATATTAATTGCCGGTTTGTGTACGTCGGTGGTAGGGCTAAGAGCCAACTCGCGTTAATTATCTCTGTGCAGCTTCGGCTGATTATTTAACTTAGCTTTAATTTTATATTTCTATACTGAGTTGCTGACAAAAGTATTGGCTACGTTTGTAAGCATCAGCAGTGCCGTCTGCAAATGATCTTTTGATGAAATGAAAGGATCTTTTCACCCTTTCCTTCATCTTGTCATTAATGCAGTTCAAACTTAGCGAATATTCGCTTCACATAGTTCAAGTAAACATCTAGCCAGCAAACTTAAGTTAATTTAGTTAGAATCTTACAATTTGTGTTATAAATTAAACGATACAAAGTATATAAAATGTTGGTAAATACCAAAACTTGAATAAAAGCAGTTTTTACATTCATAAACTAAAACTAAATACTTAACCGCTAAATTAAAAGCTAACCGCATCCCCCCCCCCCCCCGCTGAAACTATAAAATTCTTTCCGAAGGAGAACCCCCCCCCCCGATTGAGAACCATTGCGCTAAGCAGTATAGCCCTCGCGTTTTATACACTATTTAAACAAACCATATGAACCAACCTCTAAATCTAGGCTGTTACCGTTGCTGCCTTAAAATAGTTGAAAATCATCCCCCGTGACGTAAGATAACGTTTCTTATGAGGAGATTTCTATTCCAATTTGTAATATTTACGAGTTTGAGCTTCTTGTTTACGCATTTAAGGTCTTAACCAGGGAAATAAATGAAGTAATAATAGAGTAAAAAAATGCTAGTGCTAAGCAAAATAATGAATATTCAAAATATTGCAAACTGACATTAAATTTTTGTTGCTAAAAATCTTTAAATTGCATGACTGTGAACAAAGTGGCAACAATCGTGTCACTGCTTCTGAGTTTGTACGTATAACTTAAATGTGAGTTATGCATTTATTTATAAATGCAGTTAAAGGTAAGGTTAAGGGTATCTTATCCTCTGTGAAATACAACGTTCATCATTAAATAGCCGAATATTTAAATATAGGTTAAGGAAGTGGTCTCAAATTGGCGGACCTCATGCGGAACCCCAAGCAATTTTAAATACCCCGCGAATCCATTTTTCATAAATTAATTAGTATTGTCATGAGAAGAATTTAAAGAAAAGTTTATAATTTTAATGATTTGGAATCCAGTTTTACATCATTTTCATTACCAAAACGAAGGTAGATAACGGCCCAGAAAATCTACAGACAGAGCTAATTAATTTACACAGTGTTATAAAACTTGTTCAATGATTTGAAGATACAAATCTGATTAAATTGTCAAAAGATAAATACCTTGAGTTCCCGAGCTTTTGCAAGAATAGTTGCTTGGTTTGGGAGCACATTTACACGGAATTTTTTTTTTCTTCGTTGTTGAAAATTAACAAGTCCAGATTGCCGATGAGTATCTACAATTCGTGATGCATATACTTTCTATTAATTTTTCTCCAAGATTACAAATTTTATCAAAATGTAAACGCCACGAGGTGTTGTAGCTGAAACCTGTAATAGATAATTAAGAAATTTATAATTAATTACACCGAAGTAAATATTGTTTCTACATGCGTGAAAGAAAAATGTTAGGTTGCCATTATTTATCCTAAAGTTTTGTTCTTCTTGGGAAGTTTTCGTAATTTGTTTATTTTAAGTACGTTATTTAGTGTTTAATTCCATATATGAAATCATCTGAATCAATGTAAGTCTGGAAAATTTTTATATTTAACTTATGATGTTGGGAGGCCCCAACTTGTCAGCAACAGTAGTAGTGACTGCTATGAACTGGAAATTACACAAACTCTTAAGAAGGGTTTAAATCCCTTTTTATTTCACTTTAGAAATCACAGTTGCGTTCACTTGACGCTCACAAACTTCGCCGACCCGGCGGTTGAACAAAATAGACAAAAATGCAACTAAAGATAAATGACAGGATGAATAAATAACGAAGTCACTACCTACGAGGCTCTATAATCGTAACTAACTTAACCGCGTTCTAAGATACAGCTGAGATTCAGCAAACTTTCTGATTAAATTTGAAAGCTTCAAACGAACTGCCGAAATAGGCACACCGGCCGAAAACGCGCGGTTCTTAAATTTCTACCTAGCAACCTTCACGCTCGTGATTCAAGAAGCACACTTACAATCTCGTTTCCCTTCTATTTAACTCAAATTACTTCTGCTAAAATTTGAATACTCTGCGCGTTCTACTAATTTACATACTCTGGCATTGGCAATTCTAGGGGAAAGTAAAGGCTTGACAGGAAAGATAGCTTAAACTTAAAATAAATGTTAGTTAAAATAAATATAAACCCTACAAACTCTTAATGCATTTGAATAATACAGGTTACTAAGAGATATTTCTGCCAGACATCAACCTTTAAATTTCAAACAGAAAATAAGTATAAATTGAATTTTTTAGTTGCGTCATTACTGCTACTGTTTGCGCATTGTTTTGAGAAATATACCATAAAAAGTTTTTAATTTAGTTAGAAATATATCTCGTTAAAAATCTTTTTCATTCAAAAACATTTTCTGCCCGTCATCTTCTTTCAGATCCTGCGTTGGACCCGCGTGGAGTTCGTGTTTGAGACTAAGAGGTTAAGGTATATAAAAGAACGTTAAGCTATCTATTCATTAGTATCAAAATCGGATTTTTCATAATAGTGTGAATAGAGTCTGTCAAAAGTAAATGACACAAATGAGAGGATGTTACATCTGAAAATTTTTTCTGTTGCATTTTAAAAGCTCACAACAGCCTTTCTCTTCCACTTTAGTTGACATAAATATAAAAGTTGTCCGAATTTAATTCATTTTTTTTACATTTTTTAATTTTATTAGATTCTGTTCAGTTTAAACGATAATTGTATTTTATTTTTCAGCTTTACTAAGTAACACTCATAAAACTCAAATATTTTCTTCGCATTTTTTTAGTTTCGTTGTTTTTTATTTAATTTAAACAATAATTGCATTTTTATTTTTTCACGTTACTAAGCAACACTCATACAACTTAAGTTTTATCTTCCTATTTCATTACAATCTCGACATGCACGTAGCTTCGTTTCTTTCAAAAAAAATTTTCCAGAAGAGAAGGTACACTAATTATCCACCTTTTTAACTATTTTAATAATTTAATTTTTAATTAGAAATTGTGTTTTTGTATCCCTTAACCTATTTTACATTTACCAAATTTACCAATTTTAGGCTTATTGTCATTTTGTTTTTAAATTATGTATTTTCATTTATTTGGAAACTCGTACATAAAATACCAACTAGACATTACAGGTTACTTATTTTCTATAATATTTTGGATATTTTACCTATTACAAAGTATTTCTGATTTCGTATCATATCCAGAACTTTTGATTTTAAAAACGTAAACACAATTACTCTGCTTTTCGACCATTTCCATCTTATAAAAGTGTATACGAGCCAGTTTCCCTTAGAAAGTCCTCCACGAAGGCATCCCTCCCCTTAGGCAGATAGCCCTCGAGGCTTTGCCATAACCACACACACACACCATCTTATAAAAACACGTTTGTTTCTCCTGCATTTATATCTACTTTTTAGCTGGAAAATGTAAGGATTCATCCAATTGAAAAAATTTTTCATTTAGAAATTAAAAAAATTGACTTTTACAGTAACTGGATAATTTTACCTTTCCTGTGTTCTCTGGATTTTGTATTTCTTGGAAGCTTCTGCATTCGCTATGCTGAATTTTAAAATTTTCCTCTTGATCAAAGAACTTATGACTTTCGGTTCTGATATTATACTGCATAATTATTTTCCAGTCACGTCGGATGTGATTTTTTTTAATGAATGAAATGAAATTTTAAAAAAAAAATTACTTATAGTTTCGTTTAGTTTATTTTAAGTTATTCATTTTAATTTTATTTGTTTTTTTAATTATTTTCGATTCTTTTCTGATTTATTGAATTAGTTTTGATTTTCATGCGGGTTTAATTCAGAAATGTGGGTGTTCTGAACTTACTTTCTGGCTGCTCCTTGAATAAGACAAAAACAGTTTTAAACTGTTATTAACTATTTAATATTTTATGAGTTTTGTTGCATTGATTTACTTATACTTCAGTTTTGATTTTTATTTTTAAAATTGATTGAATTCTTTTTTAAATTTTGATTTCAAAATTTTGTATTTTTCTCTCCTGTTAATAAGTTTGACATCATGAAAAGATTTTAATTTTGTGTTATTTAACTCTATTATTTAATTAATTTCGCAGAATTTTGCACGATTTTAATAATTAAAAATTATTAATTTTTCAAATTTCTATTCTGCAAAGTGTGTGTTAAGCCAATAGCACAGGTCTTAGGCTTTTTAATTTACTTTTATTTAGAATTTATAAAAATAAAAAATGTTCAGATAAACCAGAAGCTAAATCACGCGCTGAAAGCAGTAGTAATTTAGTGGCAATAATTTTAAATTAAAACAAATTCAACTATCATATTCAGATAAGGCAGGTAGAACCAAAAGAAATAACACAAAACAATGCAAACTATTACTACAAACAGCAGAACAAACTACAACAAAAAATAAGCAGTGAAAATAATCCCCGTATGAAGATGTTTTGGAAAATGAAATCCGTTTGTTTTTATCTTTTTAAAAAAAAAATGTTTTGGGGTTCATTATATTTCTCCAAATTTTTTTAATAATTTTTGACAGAATTTCGTTTTCAGATTTGGTTTATGAGACATTTTTTAAAATTGTTCTCGGTTTTAATTTTGTTTTTATTTTAAATCTACCACAAAATTATTTAATTTTTAAAGATTCTTCATTAATATTAATTTTCGGCCGAAACTGTTTGCACTGTTTTGTGTTATTCCTTTTGATTCTGATTTTACCATATTTGAATATGATATCCTAATTTGTTTTATCATTTTGAGGCTCGCGGTGCAAAAACTGCAGTCTTCTATATAAAATCTACTGCAAGGGCAGAAAAGTATAAGTTTTACATTTAAAATATACACTCTTTTCCCTCGCTTGTGGCAAGTTCCTTAACTTTTTCCGAAAAAGGTGACCTACGATCAGAATATAAGGTCCTTACATTTTGATCGTATCTGTTAGTATAATATATGACTCTCGATGGCATTTAAGATAGTATGCCTTTTCAATAAGGGAACAGATTTTTCAAGATTACTCCGTATAATTCTAAAAGGGTTGCAAGCTATAATTACATTTTAATGCTCCCATTTTTAGAAGTCTTGTCACACAGCACTTTCGCCCTCAATAAAATGCGTGGAACAAGCGAATCAATTATAAGCTATTCTGTCATTTTTGATAGTCATCTCTTTACATGCAAAATCTTTCAAACCATCTGCTTGACTTCCGGCTCGACCTCCTCTTTCCGTTAGAAATCTCCTACCATTTCTCCCCCCCCCCGCTCTTCAAGGGGAGTAGATGCGAAAAGAAACAAAAAATTCCCGTTAGTTGTTTATGAGCATTAAGTAAAAGTTGAGGCACGTGACAAGAGTAAGACTACTGCATTCGCAATTTTGTAGGCTCTGGTAATGAAGCGCAGATGCGTTTGTCAACGTTCTGCCTTGATTGGAAATTTTATGAAGAAAGATGAAATTTGTTTTATAGCATATTTCAAAATTCGATACATATTTTACTGTTGGTTGAGAATTGCTCAACGAGTAGCGTAAATCGTAATAAAGTCTAATTTTAAATATTTGCCCATTACCATTAATTAAACAAATCTAACTCGTAGTTCAATAACACAAATAAACAAAAAAAAATTAGACTCCGGAATTGGAACTTTGAAAGTTTACAGGGCATTTAAAGTATATCATTTTATACACATTGATATCTGCTGGCCATCAAGTTAAAATTAAATTCCCTTCATGTAGTTCCGAAAAGCACGTTTAGATGTAGCCAACACGATTCAGATGTAATTAACATTGTTTCCTGCATACCAATGATTTACAAGCTATATCTTTAAAAACTACTTCCTCTTGTAGCTGTCATTCCTAAACAGCAAGTATTTAAACAAACCAACAACAATAATTGGCCTCTTAAAAAAAAAAGTACTCTTTACGAGCGCATTCCTTCCGAAAAATGTCCAGTAAAGGATAAGCCATCTTCTTGGAAGTCTTATTGTCGCAACAATGTAATTACCTAGGTTGTCCGTTTGGAAATGAAAAATAACACAGTTACTATTATTGAATCTAGGCTAAGAAATCACTTGAGTTCCACAGAATGGGCGATGCGCGCCTGGCGTTATTTGTTTGTCTGTCTCCCTGACTGGACGTTAAATGTCGGTTGTCGTATGATCGGTGTAATTAAGCTAAACAAGTAGCTATGGACCTCCCAGTTAGTTTTGTCAGCTGAAACTTCATTATGTATTCATTTATGTCTGAAGTTCTTGGGGCAGCTGATAGGCACAATTAGTGTTGGAAGAAATCGTGGTCGATATGATACAATTCAATCCCCCCTCAAAAATATCCTAAGGAATGAAAGAAAAGAAAAAATACCTCTCCTTTA